TCACAGGGGGTGACCACAGTGTTCTGCCTTAATTTGTGGCGTTTTTCTAAGAACTGGCTGCCATGTACTGTGCGAAATCAATCGATCTTGCAAGAATAAAATTTGGACATTCCTCTTCTAAGAATTCCAATTGAGTGTGTTAGTGTGGCCAGCTCAGGGCAATATGATATTATAAACACAGCACATATCACGTCTCTGCTGTTTATAACTTCATAGGGAAGAAAACACGCCATTCATAACAGTTTGAATGACTAAACCTCTCCCAAGAGCAACAGGAACTTTGCTGCAAGACAGGCATATGTAACGATGAATTAGCGCAGCTAAACTCATGTCTCATTAAATACGGTTCTCCTGACAACAGGCCAGCGAAAAATCTAACAATCTACAGCAAAACCATCAATTATTATGGGCGTTATAACATAGGTGTGCAGCTGGACGAAACATAGACGTCGAACCCCCGCAGACAATTTAAATACCTGACGAAACATACACGTCAAACCACGCTGAACGGTTAATGGAGTTACCCCAGATTTTGAATATAACCTAACAACATGATCACTAACTCCATCATCCCTTATGTCTTAACTGCGGTCACTGGCAGAACTGTCATTCCTCATGTGCACAACTATTAGTGAGCTTCTCCAGCAACAGTGTGATTACATCATAGTTTCCAGTCATCTTAGCTTACTAAAGCAAGTTTCACCCATGTGAGCATCACGTCTTCCATTCTGAACATTACCCTCCTATCAGAGACTCAGTTTTTAACAGTTTCCTGTATTATGCTGTCCAATTCAATTCAAGGAGGTAAGCGTAACTGCAAGATTGAATGACCATGTTCAACCTGAATCCTATGTATCTTGCAGGTGTGATACGAGGTCATCATCCTCTCTTTTCATAAATGTATGTACATCGGCTACACCCTCTCATGTTAGGCTAAGAAGAACTTTGAATGGGCAGCAAAACAACCAGTTGCTTTGCTGTTTGTTAGTCATAACTCAGCATTGTCAGCAGTACAACCTCATGTGCCCACAGCTGCAATACATCTAACCCAGACACCCCTCTGTGAAACAGTACTGCAATGTGAACTCACGCAGACCCACAGCGTAACTACAAGGGAGGGCCTGGGAGAAATAAATAGAACTTTACTTGAAGAAATGCCAGTGCTGTGATACAAAACATGTATGAGTTCATCTCTGTGTTTCATACTAAAGAATGTGTTGCACATATTTTCTTCTCTTTTTATTAAAGGGGAATTTGAATAAGGTTAAGGAAATTCATGGAATTTTACGAAGGGAGAGACTACCATTGTCGGCTCAAACATTTGCTGCATTGTTTGAATGCATAGGACGTCTTCCTGCAGATAGTGCTGCCACCTACCAAATACTTAAAGGATATGTGGAAGAAATGTCACAGAAGGTAAGTTTCCACTTTTATTAGCCCTTGCCTTTGTCATATTCTATCTCCAGGATTGCTGCCATCACCCAACAGGTCAGGATTATGCTTGGAGATAACCAAGCAGAGTGTTATTTGTTTGTTGCTTGGGTTGTGATTGAGGTATCATTAAAGAGTGGAAGCCATAGAATGAACTTCAATGTAGAACAAATTTCTTCAGCTTAAGAAATTAAATGTTGCAGCTGTTTATGCTGGGATCCGAATATGCAGAGAAATGACTAATGTTAGAGAAAGTCCAGAATGTAGTTTAAACTGACATAATAACTGTGAAGAATGCTGTCCTCTGGGATGTAGCACCATGTAAATATTGTGTAAACCGATGTTTCAGAGGAACATATCACCTCCATTATCAGGCTATTAAAAATAAATTGTGAGTGAGGAATCAGCATGAGCATGTGGCTGCAGACTGAGTGCCAGTCAAAAACACCCAGCTATATAAGAATAGGAAGGAGAGGGAGAGGGGTCACATGGGAAGTCAATGCAGAGGAAAGGGTAAGGGTCAGTGGAGATGGGCCAGCAGGTAGCAGGCTAGAGCAGGTGTAGGATCATGTTGGGGATGGGGCGGAAGGCAAAATTACAGGGAGAGCATTGACCCAATAGCCTCAGGGCTAAGCTGCCAGCTGTGCATCGACCTGCATAGCCTTGTGGATCTGGTGTCATGTTCCAGAGGTTTCTTGAAGGAAGAGATGAGAGGCTTCCATGACTTGCTGAGACAAAACCCCACCTCTCTGTTCATATTGTTGGGATGGAACTCAGTGGCCTCCCTAATGATGTGGTCCATGTATTGGGTCTTGGTGATGAGGATGGAGGTATTGTGAAGATGAATATGGTGTCCCAAGTCAATGCTGTATTCAGCCATGGGTGACTTGTCTGGATGTTCGAGACAGATGTGCCGCTGATGCTCTTTCAACCTTGTGTCAGACATTCAGACAAGTCAGTCATGGCTGAACATGGCATGGAGTTGGGACACAGCATCCAGCTATACAATACCTCCATCCTCGCCACTGAGACCCAATACATAGATCTCATCATTAGGGAGGCCACTGAGATTGAGCTCTATCCCAACAAAATGAACAGAGAGGTGGGGTTTTGTTTCAGCAAGTCATGGAAGCCTCTCATCTGTTCCCTCAAGAAACCTCCGGAACATGATGCCAGATCGGCAATGCTACGCAGGTCAATGCATGGCTGGCACCTTAGCCCTGAGGCTACTGGGTCAATGCTCTCCCGGTAACCTTGCCCCCCCCCCCGACATGATCCTATACCTGCCCTGGCCTGCGACCTGCTGGCCCATCTCCACTGACTCTTCCCCACTCCTCTCAATTGATTTCCCATGTGACCCCTCTCCATTCCTTTCCTGTTCTTATGTAACTGGGTGTTTTTGACTGGCACTCAGCCTGCAGCCACCTGCTCATGGTGGTTCCTTGCTTGCGGATTTTTTTAATACCCTGAAGATGGAGGTGATACGTTCCTCTGAAACGTTGGTTTACACAATGTCTACACGGCGCCACATCCCAGAAGACGGCATTCTTCATAGTCACCGACATGAAAATCTCTTACATGACATAATAACTGCCTATGTAAGATTTGGTTAAGTGCACCATGCAAAAGGGGGATTGTAATGTATCTTTGCAATATATATATATATATATATATACAGGGTGTCCCAGGAGGAATGTGCCAAACTTCGGGAGGGTGTTCCTTATGTTAAAGTATATATATATATATAACCCAAAACACCTATGTCCAAAGTTGAACGGTTACGGAGATAATGGCCCGAGAAAAGTGTGGTCTTCTTGCAGGTCCACGCACTATACGTACCTGTCAGCTGAGACCCTTATCTGTTTGTCCTTGAGTGCCGCGAGTCACACTAGCGTAAGCTCATGCGCTGCCTACAGATTACGTTGCGGTGGGGTCGTGAATGGGTGGTAAATTAGTTGTGTGATGAGTTGCTGAAATGCCTTTTGTGTTTTCACACGTCGAGTATTGTGATATGCATTTTGTGTATGGATTTTGCGGTGGCAATGCACGTGCTGCTGTTGAAGAGTACCAAAGGCGTTTTCCCGATCGAAGGATTCCATCTCGAAGTGTATTTACGCGAATTCACCAGACATTGCGTGAGACTGGTTCTCTTCCGAGTGTTTCTGTGCAGTCGGAAAGGGAGGATGTACAAATGAGAAACACACGAGAGAACATTCTTCGCATGATTGATAGAAGTCCGCGTCTCTCCACTCGTAGAATGGCCTCTCGCATCGGCGTATCACGTATGCAGGTGTGGCGAACTTTACATGACGAAGACCTGTATCCTTACCATGATCAAAGGGTACAACATCTGGAACCAGGCGACCATGCTCAGCGTATGGATTTCTGCCACTGGATAAAAGCTCATCCCGAACTGTTAAGCGTCATTTTATTCAGTGATGAGGCGTCGTTTACCCGGGACGGTGTAAATAATTTACGAAATATTCATACGTGGTCCCATAATAATCCACATGAGATAATGGAAACGAAATTCCAAAAGAGATTTTCTGTGAATGTATGGTGTGGTGTGCTTGGGAACAGGTTGATCGGACCTTTTGTGTTTCACAACAATTTAACTGGAAACACGTATGGAGCCTTCCTAAGGAATGAGTTACCATGTTTGTTGGAAGACATCCCGTTAACGATAAGGAGGAAAATGTACTTCCAACATGATGGGGCTCCTCCACATTATACTCAGCACGTGAGACACTACTTAGATGAATCCTTCCCTAACCGCTGGATAGGTCGTGGTGGTCCCATTGCATGGCCACCGAGGTCGCCAGATCTTACGCCTCTAGATTATTACCTCTGGGGCCACATGAAGACCTTAGTCTACGAAACTAAGGTCGATTCCCGAGAAGCACTGCGGAATCGTATTTTTGCAGCGGCAGAGCACATACGTCACCATTCAGGCAACATTGCTTCTGCTACCCAATCCCTCATGATGCGTGCCGAAAACTGCATTGCAGCTGGCGGAGGACACTTTGAACAATTACTATAAAGCAGGTACTGTATTTTAATACTTATGTAGTTGGCTTATAGCAGAATATGCAGTCAGTCATGTTACACCAGCGCTTGCCATTCATGTGTCATGTGTAGTGATGAGGCGTCTTTTACCCTGGACGGTGTAAATAATTTACGAAATGTGCATACGTGGTCCCATAATAATCCACATGAGATAATGGAAACGAAATTCCAAAAGAGATTATCCGTGAATGTAGGTATAATAAGAGTTATGTGGTCGGCTCATAGCGCAGCCATATTACGTCATCGCACGCCAGTCATGTGTTATGTATACTGCTTGGAAACCTAAGGACAATTATGACATGGCGAGCGAGTATTTTGTACTTCAATTTTATGGCTTTCCGTCACTCACAAGTTGGTTTGATGTTACGTACATTATTAACATTACAGAATCCACATATTCCTGCCAGTTTTAATATCTATTTTGTAATCAACAAGTGTGTAACCCCGGTCAAAGTTTGACACTTCTCTGGCCATTATCTCCGTAACCGTTCAACTTTGGACATAGGTGTTTTGGGTTATATCGGCATACTTTAACATAAGGAACACCCTCCCGAAGTTTGGCACATTCCTCCTGGGACACCCTGTATATATACACACACACACACACACGTTTATCTGTGTGTGTCTTTGTGTGTGCATGCATGTGGGGGGGCAATGCAACCAGTCTTAGCTCACAGGACCTGCCTGTTAGTAATCTTGTTACCTTAAACCTCCAGATGGATTAATCATGTATGCATAGGTCTGCAGGTATGATGTCTCTCTGACTTCCCAGATGCATAAAGTTATTGTAATGTTATAGCTATCCTATAAGGAAGTGCTATGAATTTCTATCCAACAAAATGGTAGATGAGTATAGGGTTTGACTCCCGTAACTATTTAAGATATTACACCATGTCATATGCATTATGTTTTGCACTTCAGATTTCCCATTGTGTGCAGTCTCTAACACATTTAATGAGCACCTTCCTGCCTCCATGTTTTATATAATTTATTTTTCAATCTGCTCTTCATTTACATTTACTTTAGTACACTAGATGGAAGAAATTGCTCTTTTACTTACTGGACCAGTGACTGAAAAAGAAACCTTGAAAAATTGGCTGAAAAATGAACAGGGCCTAGGAATTTTGGTAATTTTTCACATGGGAATTGTTAATTTGCATATTGATAAAAAGCGTTAGAAACAAACATTTTATCAAATGAAGAATTCTGTCTTCTATGATATAATTCTATGTAGTCTGTTGAAGGTCAGCCAACATTTCAGGTCAGAGAATAAGCCATGCAAGAAACTAGCATGGAGCAGGTAGTAAGCAGACAGAATTCTTCATAACCACTACTGTGAGAACCTCAGCTCCTACATTTTGTCAAATTATTTTAAACTTTAAAAGCTAATTCTGTCAGTTTCATAGAAATACAGTGAGATGTGGTGCTTAAGCACCATGCTTTGGAGGTGTATGAAAATTTGAAGCCCCACACATTCTTAAAATCCATACTGGTTGTATGTGAAAGATCAGCAGAGCCACAAGTAACCATTGGGATAAAAAACCCCTTCATTCGGTCCATAGTCAGCTCCTTATAGTCTCACACGTGTAGAGAATATTATACTACCAGAAGTGCATGTGTGGATCCAGGTTAGTGAAGCATACACTGCCTTTTTGACCCACATATGCTTCCAGTTTGTTACATTCCATATTACATAGTCTGAAATTTCATATCTCTAATACAGAAATTGACCCCATGGCTGGTTGTGTTAATTTTCTGGCTTGAATGGATTCTGATTATATAACTTTTAATACTGTTGTTATTGATACTGGATATATTTTAATTTTAAAATACTACTCAAAGTTACTCTACGAACAGTAGTACAAAGAAGATGCACTCAAAAAACAAGAGTCAGTATTTCAGTTGAATGAAAGTCTGTTTGCACTTTGTTCACTTTCTGTAGCTGAAACAGAAGTATTCTCTCTGCTGGTGCATAGACATTCACTTTATGAAACTCATATACATAAATTCATAAATACACAATATGTAAAAGTCTAGAGAGGAAACTTGGTTCACTTGTTGCAGGGATTGACATTCAATGATATTATACAGAAGAGTGTATTTGTGTCTGACCAGAGGGAAGTAGTGGTGGATGTAATTCGAAGAATTGAGCCAAACTTTGAACCAGACAGTATTTTGCCAGATATGTGTTATGCCTGTAACCTTCTGCATGAATTAAATTCTGAGAATCGAAGTGGAAAGGTGAGTTATTTGGAAATAACATATCAATCTTTAAATTGTATGTGACATAAAAATGAAGGGTGAATATCTTACCAAATTAATGTTTGTTATATTTAATCATCATGCCATGTAGGTGATCAGAGCGGTGTCCAAGTATTCACTGACCTTACTACTGTACTGAATATAAATTTATACTGTGCCTGCCTGATCTCCTGGAGAATGACTGTGAGAAGTATGTTGTGAGTAATGTTTCCAGGCCTCTGCATGCTTCAGGAATGGCAATCCATTTCTGAGATGAGGTCATCTATGAGACAAACTGTGGGGGCACTATGCTACAAGCTGGCAGGTTGTGGGTTTGAGCCCCAGTGAGGTAATTGGATTTTTAAATTGACCTAATCCTTCCAGCCGCACTATGGCCCTGGGTTCAACTCAGCCTCTAACAGAAATGAAGACCAGAAATTTTCCTTTGGGGGTAAATGGTGGCCAGTGTGTAAGGCAACCTAACTGCCATCTGTGAGCAGATTGTCTAGAAAATGTGGGAGCCTCAACCTCTGACAACCCTACAGGCCTCCACAGCCTGTTACGGGGATAGCCTTACCTTTATGACACAAACTCAGCTAGCCTTAATGATAGGATAGTGATAAGAATGATGCTTATCAGAAGGGACCTCCAGATTAACATGGGGTATGAACTATGGTGGCCTTAATATTCCTTATAGTGACTAAATTTTTTCTTTGTCATTGGTTAAGGAAGAGAAAGACATGAAGATAGTCTGAACTGGATCTGATGTTTCATGAAACTCAGATTGTTGGCATGGGTCTATCCTGTCACCCCTAGAATACTAGAACTGTAACAAGAAGGAAGGATGTTCTTTCCATAAGAACATCCATGAAGGCGTTAATAGTGGTTTGACACCACTTCAGAGAACAATTAACACAACTGACTGATATAAGGAAATTCTGGACTTGTACATTATTTTAAATTGTAGCATCATTTAAAGAAATGGATAACATAATACATGGTCCTTGGCTAACCAACTAACTAACTCCATGGAGTTTCTTCCTTGAGCAGCAGTCAGTCTCTCAGCTACTTAAGAATTTCTCAACACTTTATGGAACACAGAGATTCATTACTGTGTTCACAAGAGCCCTCTACTGGCCCCTGTCCTTAGCTGCATCAATCCAGTCCTTACTGCACCATCCTGTCTCTCTAATATCCACTTTAATATTATCCTACCACCTACATGTAGGTCTTCCTAGTGGTCTCTTCATCTATGGCTCTCCCACCAAAATCCTATGTGCATTCCTTTTCTCACCCATTCATTCTATATGCACTACACTTCTCATATGCCTTTACTTGATCATTCTAATTGTACTTGGAGAAGAGTACAAGTTATGAAACATGGCCTTTGACACTTCCCAGGAAGTGGATCAGTGGTGTTCACTTTGTACTTTTTCTGTAATAACTCAATCAATCATATGCAGAGAGTGAATGAGCAACTTCCTGATCCTGGATGATGAAAGTTAGTGCCACATACCTAGGCTTGTAGTGATATAGAGTTACAGTAACACTTTTTTCTTTAATGCTAATGAAGTGGGAGTAAATCCCTTGTACTGCAGCCACTTCTGGCATATTGTACCAGCCCCAACTGATAGGTGAGGGTGATTGTGGAGCAATTGGTGGAATGAAGATTGGCAAGGAAAACCGAAGTACTCGGAGAAAATCTGCCCCAGCGCCAATTTGTCCACCACAAATCCCACTTAACCAGACCCAGGATTGAACCCGGGCCGCCGCGGTGGGAAGCCAGCGACTAACCTCTTGAGCTATGACGTGGCCCTACAGTAACACTTAGTTTTCCGTGTACTGAGGGAAAGCTGTGATCGGTCAAGTGGAACTGAATCATGAAGTAGGTAGGGTTCCAGGTGAGGTGTGCATACATTTGTGTTGTATGTGTGAGTGGCTGAGTGCTTATGCACATTCACTCATGTATGAACTTTGGAATGATTTCTCTCTGAAGTTAGTTTGGTTTACTAAGATTGATTTTGGTGTTCTAGAAGGAAGAAAAGGAATTTACTCTGACACTATATCTGTTTATCTGTAACAAATCTAAGACTACAAAACATAAAAAAAAAAGAATAAATAGACTGGTTAATTGCTGACATGCCTTTTTACAGTCCTGTAAGATTGATCTGACTGCATGAAACTTATGAAGTATTCATGTTTTACTCATTTCTTTGGATAGATCACAACTAATTGAAGAGGTGAGACTGAGTCAAAATTCAACGGATGATTTGAAAAGTATGACCAAATTGATACACTCATGCATATAGAAGGGATGTGACTAATTAAAGACACATTGTACATAGAGTGAGAATGGACATTTTACATAAGATGGTTTAGTGTTTGTGTATAAATGTGTGGAACTACATATATACTACCTTAACAACTGTTCCAAAGATAGTTTTAACATTCTTTGTGTTATGTTTAGGGTAGAACATATAAGTCACCCGCTGAAGGTCTCATGACAAAGTCCGACTTGCAGCAGTTGATTAAGGAGCAACTTCAGACGGAATTAAACAGCTATGTTAAAGTGAAAACAGTTGAGGACAGAACAGAGCCAAATGAGACCATTCTGTATTATGTAAGTGGTATAATGCAGTTAACTTATTTATTTTTCATTGAGTCTGGCCAAGTGCCCAGGTGAAGCTCCAACTGATGAGTGAGGTTGAGATAATTTTTCTGGGTAATGGGGCATATGACATACTTCTAGAAACTACAGAGTATTGGTGGAAGGAGGACTGGCAGGGTGAAGCCAAACAAACGTTACAGAAATCTGTCTCAGTGCCACTTTGTTGACAATAATTTCACTTGGATTATATTGCAATTGAACCTGGAACTCTGCAGTGAGAAATCAGAATTTTTTCATCTGTTGGACTTTGTAAAACATAGAAATATATTTTATTGTCTTAATAGTATGCATCCTGTTGTGTGTTATAAATAGGGTATATAAATGTGTATAAAAGTACATTTATATACCCATGTCCCAGCTGCTTGACTCCTGATGAAAAGAGTTCCCAGTACCCATTAGATAGGAGGCTTGATGGGCCCCAAAGCCAGTCCAGATGCTGTGGGAAGAAAAAAAATTCTTGATCATGCTAGGGCTTGAACCATGGCTCTCCAGGCCACAGCCCATCACTATACAAATTGTGCTAGCCCTGCTTGTCTATATTAATACATATATTTGATCAATATTGGTTAGATTTTAAGGTTTCAGAGAAAAGTGCTTATGTGCATAGAATATTATTTTATGTATATTTGTTAGGATCTCCTTTTTTCTATGATCATCATCAGTTACAGTATGTAACACTCACACATGGAGCTGAGCCCTTCTTGAGAAGCTGCTAACTGTGCACCTACTCAAGAACTTCCCAGCAATTTATGGAACCCAAAAGTTCATTACTACGTTCACAAGAGCCCTCCACTGGTCCCTGTCCTTAGCGAGATCAATCCAATCCATAAAATCTCATCCTATCTCTCTAAGATCCATTTTAACATTGTCCATCCACCTACATCTTGGTCTTCCCAGTGGTCTCCTTCCTTCTGGCTTTCCCACCAGTATCCTGTATGCATTCCTCTTCTCCCCCATTCATGCTACATGCTCTGCTGTTCTCATCCTCCTTGATTATTATTATTCTTGATTATTCTAATTAAACTTGAAGAAGAGTATAAGTTATGAAGCCCCTCGTTATGCAATTTTCTCCAACCTCCTGTAACTTAATCTCTCTTCGGTCCAAGTATTCTCCTCAACACTCTGTTCTCAAACGCCCTCAATCTACGTGTATGTTCCTCCCTTAATGTCAAAGACCAAGTTTAACACTGACACAGAACCACAGGCAAAATTATACTTTTGTATATTCTAATTTTTATATTTTACACAACAGATGAGAAGACAAAAGATTCTGGATGGAATGATAGCAGACATTACCTGAGTTCAGTCTCCTCTTAACTTCCTCCTGAATCAGGTTTTGATTTGTTATCATCGTTCCCAAATATCTGAACTGTGTCACATTTTCAAAACATCTGTTACCTATCTCGTATGTCATGATTTTGCCCTGCATTTTGGTAACGAGACAGCAACATATACTTAGTTTTCTCCGAGTTTACTTCTAGGCCAACCTCCTTACTAGCGTCAGTTAATTTTTTGTGTTTTCTTTATGGTATCTATATCATCACTCAGACCAACAGCTGATATGTCCCATTTACTTTCAGCCCCACCTGGTTTTCTTGGACCTTCCTAATGACATAGTCTAAAGCAAAATTTAAAAAGCAGTGGCAATAAAGCAGCTCATTGTTTTAGACCATTCTGGATAGGAAAATTATCAGACAAATGTTTACCTGTATGGACTTTACCATATGTTTCATTTGAATACATTTCATTCAGTCTGACTAATTTCATGGGTATCCCAAACTCTATCAGAATACTGTACAATACTTCCCTCATAACTGAATCTTAAGCTTACTTGAATCCTATGAATAGCTGATATACTGTCTGATTAAACTCCCATTTTTTCTCCAGTATCTGACGAATGCAAAAGATCTGATCTGTTACGTCGAAACCCACACTGATGATGCCCAATAATTTCATCTATATATGGACTTAATCTTGAGAAAAGAATATTGGATAAAATTTTATATGAAGTTGAAAGCAGTGGTATCCCACAGTAATTATTACAGTCAGATTTATCACCCTTCTTGTGAACTGTTACAGTAATAAATGCCTTCCACTGATCAGGCAATTTTTCCTTATTCCAAATAGAATTAATTAACTTATGGATCTTAGAACTTAGTTTTGCATCCCGCTTGAATAAGTTCTGATGGAATTTGATCACTACCTGGCGATTTATACCTTTTCAATTTTGAACAGCAGTTTCAACCTCAAAAGGGCTAGGATCATGTACTAGTTCTATCTGCCTAATACCACTGACCCTATATACATTCAATAACTGAGAGAAGTACTTCTTCCTCCTGTTCAAAATGTTGTGGGAATCTGCAAGCAGATCACCATTCTCAACCTTCACTAAGTTTCTTCTATGTTTGTAACTCCTCTTGAAGTCATTTATTCCTCTGTACAGGTCTCTGATGTTCTTGTTCTTACTGTTCCTTGCAAGCTCATCAGTTCTGTCTTTCAGATATTCCCTCTTTTTATTCCTGAAATGCCTGCTGGTTTCATGTCTTATATTGTTCACATTATCCCCATTTATTTTGGTTGGATCCTGTAACTGCTGCAGTTTGGCAAGTTTCTTTTGGTCTAATAATTTTGAGCATCTTTCGTCAAACCATGACTTATGCTTCTTTCGTTCATAATAACGTAGACTCTCTTTGGCAGAAATTTTGATGTTCTCTCTAATAGTTTCCAAAGCTTTATTAACATCCACCTCAGTGTCTAAGTTTTCCAAAGCTGCTAACCTATTTGAGATTTCAACAGGATATTGCTCCTTGCCTTAAGTATTCTTCATTTCTTATTGTCTGATTTTCTTTCTGGTTTGGTTATAAGTGATAACATTTTCTGGTCCCTTTGGTGCCAGAGTTAACTGTGGCCCCCCCCCCCAGTGGGTCATTGCTTGGTACCTGTCTGTTAATGAAATGATACCGTGTTGCATCATGATGATTAGTAGGAGGAAATTTATTATTGGGGCTGTATGTTCAAAGGTGCTTAGTATTTCTATCACGCTGTTCTTACCTGTTACCTGATATTCCAAAAATGGAACACATTTCAGGAGCAGGACTAACTTCCATCCTCGGGCGATGGGGGGGGGGGTACTTAAGAGTTGGGTTCAGTGATTTGAATTAATTCTCTCTAATGGTCCGAGCTAAGTAGGTACTTTTCACCTGAAGACAGGAGCAGATACAGCACCTGAAACATTGTATTCTTGTTTGTAGAATATCAGGCAATGAACAAGATCCAGGAAGCCAGTAGCACTAAGTGTGTGTAACACACCATCATCAGAGCCCTATAGAATTGGTACATATTAATAAGAATCATAATAAGTAAGCATTTCCATTATTCTGCTAGAATTTATTTTAAGAAATTCTGAGTGGTGAATGGGCATATTTGCTAGGCAGGAAGGTATATCATCATGTTTATGAATGCGATTGAAAGTACATGAGAGGAAACTGTCAAAGCTTATTTGTAGCTGCTGTTGTAGCATTTGCTAGGATGGACTTTGGAAAACCATGGACATCCTAAGTGAGAATATGCGGTGGCATGGCCAAAAATAGAAGTCAGCTGTGTTACCACTGAGCCACCATGTTCATTGGTTGTCATAACAACTTATACAGGGTGTCCCAGGAAGAAAGGTCAGTATTCTGGGAGGTCATAGTAGCAGTCATTCTAAGCAAAAAACTGTGTATGTACAAGTGTCCTGTTCCAAATGGTTTCCAAGATAGAGTTATGTCACTGTACAGGAATGTCAAGATGCACTCAGGCAAGCAACACACCATGTTCTCACATCAATTGCAAAGTGCATCAGTGTTGACAGTGGAATTTTTGAAAATTTGCTACACTAGGTGAACTGTATCAACCTTGTAATTTGAACAATAAATACCAGTATTAGAAACAGTAGATAATATCTCTTGTCAACAATTTTGGAACTGTACAATCTTGGAAACTGCTCGGAATGGGATGCATGTACATATACACTTTTTTGCTTAGAATGACCAATACTGTGACCTCCCAGAATGTTAACGTTTCCTCCTTGAACACTATATGTGATCATGCAATAAGTAATATGTATTATGCCTTCTTTTCAGAGGAAAAGGTTGCAGGAGGCCCAGGATAATTGGAAGGAGACAATTTGTGAGGCATATCACAGAGATCTGAGAGTGTTGCGTGTTCAGCAACATTACCGAGTCTTTCGCCACATTAACTTATATCCTTATCTCAAAGTATTAGACCCAGAAGATTATTTTGAGATCATACTTCAGGTATATGTTTGAAGTGTCACTAAATGAGGAAAAGGGCATACATCATTTTCCAACACTTTGCAGACTTGCTCCATTCATACTGGATGGACAAAAATTAACTGTCATTCCTTTTGCTATGGGAGCTTCAGCACTTAGAAAAGAGAAGTTCACTATTGTAGTCTGTCCTAAACCACTTCAGTTGAATCCAGAAATCTGTTTCATCAAGCTCTGTTTTAATATTATCATACATTTTGGTTCTTTGTGAAGCAAACTGTGATGTCTGTATCTCTGCCCCAGAGCTTCATGCTGAGTCCATTACAATCATAACCTCCTTAACTCTATTAAACTAAAATAAGGGAGCAGCATATACTGTGAACTCACAGTTTTGTAGACATACTCTGTGTTGAACGTGTGTGAGAGGGAAGTATTTGGATGGATATGAAAGGGTGTAACAACCGACCAGAGGAAACTGCATAATGAAAAGCTTCACCATTTATACTCTTCTTTCTGTAATGTTAGAATGATTAAATCGCAGTCAGATGGGGTGAGATACTGTGGAACCTTTCTTATAAAATCCATTAAATGCTTCATGAAACAGGCACTTGTAATATCCAAAAATGATTTTAATTCATAACCACAAATCTGTCAACTAATCTGTAATGCAGAATGATGCAAAGATATATGATGTGGATGTGACAATATTTCTTTTTTGCAATGACTGTCATGGGGATATGAAAATAATGAAGAATAGTACAGCAATCTCATCATTAGCATTATCTGAACTGAACAGTTCAAAATTTTCTGAAACTTACTTAACTTATACTCACAACTTACAGCTAATTATTAGACATCCTTTAGGAGTAGAAGTTTTACCCATAGTTCACTACATATACATACATGTGAGAACAAATGAATGGATTTCTTTCAAACTGAAGTAACAGATTAACACAAAAGAAATTTAAATTGTAGCTTGACTTGCATGTGAACACTGCATACTAGTTGTTCCAGATACATATAACTTTTTAACATTATAAATGATACAAACTCCGTCCTAAGTGCAAACAATATATATTTATATGTCTTTGATCTTGTTCTTTCTACACTACATGTTTCGGCCTCTATCGGCCATCATCAGGTGTATACTCTTAACGTTGCTGCCACTCTGAACCCAGTCTAAAACTTAACATTTAAAAACACAATGTCACATTCTTCGTATTATCAACATCTACATCGCTGATATGTGTCTGGTATGTAGATTATGTTGCACACATCAAAGACATATAAATATATATTGTTTGCACTTAGGACGGAGTTTGTATCATTTATCGTGTGGAGTGCAACAGGATGCTTAAATATAATATTTTTAACATTACTTGTATGAGCAATGGTTGTGAATCAGCCAGTGTATTTCACTGTAGAACCCATTATTGTAGAGGTATGTAAACTATATATGAATCCATAACTGTTAATGTTTTCTGTCTCATATATTTATGTTACCACACATGTAAGGAAAGTGACCCCCTTTTATGAGACACCTGGATACCATCTATAGTTCCTGTGCTTAAGACATTACACAGGTAACAGAGATCTCATTTTTTTATGTTTTTCACACATTCACATGCTGATGTTGCAAAACAAATTTCACAAATATGTACTCAAAAGAAATAAACAGTGTTAGTTTGATTGGGTTTAGTGTATACCGCATTTACTTTTATTTCCTCAGTATCACAAAAAATGATGAAGTTAATGCATACTGCCTTCTTATTTCACTTTTTGATGAGCAGCCAAGCTCACACAGACATATTATTTCAAGTTTGATGTTCATGTTATTTGGGTTATTAAAAAATTTGCAGTTGACACCAACTGAAACACAGTTGATATTTTATGCGAGAAAACCTTAAACATGTGCTTGCATAGTTATGTTCTGTGTCGTCATTGTCCCACGAAAGCTCAAGGAAGTTCAGGGGAAGGGGAAATGTATATGACATGGAAGGGAAGATTTTTTTTTTATCTTTTATTGCTAGTGGTGTGGGACTAAGTCCATTGTACTGCGGCCATTTCTGGCCTATTGTACCAGCCCCAGATGATAGGTGAGGGTAATTGTAGAGCAGTTGGTGGAATGAAGAGTGGCAAGGGAAACTGACGTATTCGGAGAAAACCTGCCCCAGCGCCACCTTGTCCACCACAAATCCCACTTGACCAGACCCAGGATTGAACCCGGGCTGCCGCAGTGGGAAGCCAGCGACTAACCACTTGAGCTATGGCACGGCCGATGGAGGGGAAGGTACTGCACAGTCCAGTGGACATCACTTGATGTGCGGTTCTCAGTGTGAACTGCTCACAATTACATTTTGGAATGTAAACTTTCTCCGAGACAAGGGTAGGGTGGGTTAATGGTGCCTTTATGGACTGCTAGTCATAGGTAACTTTGGAAGCAAAACTGAAAGTACAGTTGGTACAAAAAGTTTTGGGAAAGCTCTGGCAGCTAATTAGGAATCACTTGTTATGATGAATATGCTTGGAAAAAAACCCTCATTTATATGGTTATTTTCCATATTTACAACATTGAGAAACTGATCGTTTCTGTGGTTGTTGTTCCTGTAATGAAATCCTCACTAAAGTTACACTCATTCCACTACAGTTCCACTATATGTATTTGCATGGTGATGTCAGAAATGTGTACAGTCTTTTAATTAGTAAGTTTCAAAGGATGAGACCATATGAGAAACTTGGGCATAGATAGGAGGATAATATTTTACAGGTCTGAGAGAAATAGGGTGTGATGATGGGAACTTTGTTCTACTGGCTCTGGATGTGATCTGTTGGTAGGCTGTTGTCAATGCAGTGGTGGATCTTTTTGTTTGTTAACAACAGGGTATTACTTGACCAGCTAAGTAACTGATAGCTTCTCTATGAGTTCCTTCACTGTGAAGTTAGAGTTGTTTTGGACTTCCCCAAATCTTCCATTCAGTCTTGCAGTTGTATGAGTATGTAAGAATTTTTCTTCTTTCAGGAAATACGTAAATTAGCTGAAGGCTCTGAAACATACAGCCCTACAACCAATCAGCTGTATCGAGACTTGGGGGACCAAGTGCGAAAGAGGTATAGTATATATACCCACACATTTTGCATCAATGAGCCATCACATTTCATAAAATGCAGACAGGTTCTTGACTAGCTAAGGTACTGTCTGCTCCATGGAGCCAGATTGTTATGAGGGTTTAAAAATTGTAAGGATGAATGTGTTATATTTCATGGGTATTGTGTCCATCATTCTAGCTGTAGTATTTGCAAGTCCATTGTCCACACCATATTTATTGAAGACATGTAATTTTGAATTAAATATTAAGCAGATATTGAACATTGAATGAGGAGGGATGGGAAGGGAAGTATTTGTGGCAGGAAAACTGATGTGCAGGCCAAGATTTAAACCTCATACTTTCTAAATGCAAATGAAATGTGGTAACCACTGAACACAACTCTTATATCTTATTTGTCTCTTCAGTTGGACATGTAAGTCAGACAAATAGATGCAGAATGATTCAATTAGTGATGATAAACTTTGTGTAAATAATGCAGTGTGGGAAGGTTTATTACGGTATAAATAGAAACCCTGATATTTGGGGTTTGATTCTTAGAAAGGGCAGGCGGTTTATTTCTCTTCTCCGCAGTGTCCTATGTCGGCTACATTCCCGTTCAACAATTTTACAGCAGCAGTTTTAATTTTTTTTCTCATGAGCTAGGGAAATTTTGTCATTCCCCTACAGTACCCTGCATTCAAATGGTAGACTAGATATAATGGGAGACCACCTTTTATCCCAGTGGTACCATTCATCACACAGCTCCCTTATTGCTACTCAGGTAGCTCACACCTTACCTTAGGGCACTACTGCCTTTAGCCAGGCAGGCCAGCCTGCTGGTCATGAGGAGGCAGGTTGTGTGAATTCATGCCCTTCATTCGGCTTGAGACATTGGAAACAGAAAATTACGGAGTAATTTCATAATCAGCCCATGAAATTTCTTTCAGGTATGAGATAAAGTTCAAAACTAATTCAGGAATCTTGGAGAAAGTTGTACATTTGTACAAAGAATACTGTGATTGGTACTTGGCCCCTGAAGATTCTGAACAGATTATGAACACAAGACAGAAATGGCAGCAATTGGAGTATGAAAATCCAGAGGGACCAAGTGTGGTGAGTTCTTGAAATTCGGTGAAATTGGTGACAGGTGACAGGAGTGTTGGCTGGATTCCACTATAAACTGTAGATCTCAAATTGAATGTTTCTGCTTGTAAGAGGACAGATAATCTGAAAATTTTTCATGAGTGACTAGTAAATCACTCAGATTAATGGACACACTTGGTACGCAGCTTTTGTTGATGAACTGTTTCCCTGAAGGTCGGATGATGACAAGTATTGTTACTTAAAGGCTGTGAATAAAATAATGATAAGTAAAATTGTGATATAATATTCCAATATTTACGATATTTTTCTGGTTGCAGCTGTAGACTAATATAAACAAATGCTGTTTTCATGTGTACTGAATTTTGATCTGCTAAACAACCCAGTTTTCAACCTTCCAAAATTCGTACCCTGCCATGATTAAAAAACAATCAGCATTATTTTCTTTCACCCAGAAATTGTTACCACTCAACCATTATCTGTGGTGAGTGACATCGCATACTGAAGATACACTGAAGCCATGCTGCTTGCAGCAGTTTGACTCTTAACCGATATTCTTTCAGTGTTTATTTCATATGTTATTAATTATTTTTGAAGTTAATTTGCTATTATATGTAGAGTTTTAAGTATATTTGCAAGTTTAATACCATCAGAACTATATTAGATTTGTTTATAAGATGTCACCTTGTAAATTTCACAATCAAAATTACAGTGCTTCATCAAACCAAGATCTACCACAATACAGTGATTTAGGACTTCATGCTGTGTGGCAGTAGTATTTTTCTCATTGCCAAAATTGGTACAGATGCCTTGTTTGTATTTTTGATGGCAGGAAGATTTATTAGCTCCACGATGATGTCTCTCCTGACATAATGTTGGTACCAACATCTTACATATCATTGTTTCTGATCTTTTTATGCCCCAGTGGATAGGCAAATGCATTTAACTATTAGGGTTCTTAACCCTGTGGCATCCTTTCCCACTTCAAGTGGTCTGCTCTGGGAAACTCAGCAAAGAAATGTGATTACAATTTTTTTTTAGATATGAAGCCCTAAAAAGTACTTCTGGTTTCTAGATTTCACCTGCTATGTAATTTCTCAAAACCACATAATATTACAATATCACATACACATGACAGTAGGAACCAGGCAGGAACAGTTCTAAGCAATCCATGCATTTTGATTTTTGCTTGAAAGTATGTGTGAATCATCTAGGGCCAGTACCATGAGGACATATAGACATGATTGATTGATTGATTTATTTATTTATTTCATCACTGTAGATCATTGTACATGATATAGGACAAGTCAAGTTAATTCTGAATATTAACAATTTAATATATGAGTAAGATTAAAATTACAATAGTTACAATTGTTTACAGTTGATTACAATTTAGAATTAGTTAGATCTTCTTATTTGTGGAGAATTTGATGGAGTCCTGATGAGGTCGCTGGATTTTTTCAGTTGACCTAATCCTTCCAGCCACACTATGGCCCTGGGGTTGACTCAACCTCTAACAGAAATAAGTACCAGGAATTAATTAAATAATTTTCCTGGGGTGTAAAGTGTGGCCAGCATGTAAGGCTGACAACCTTACCACCATCTTTGAGCCGATTGCGTAGATAATGTGGGACCCTCAATGTCTCACAACCCTATGGGCCTTCACGGCCTGTTACAGTCACTAAACTTTTACTTTACTTACTTAGTCAGAACATAAAAGAAAAGTGAGTAATGTGCTTATGGATATGAATGGGTTCAGGAGAAATTTAGTTCCTTTTTCACGACCCTAAAATGTTTTCACACGCTGTTACAGTAATTTTCACCTGTATGTTACAGAACATGGAAGAAAAATCATGGCCACCTTCTGTCCTGGGCGGTGTTGGGAAGTTCTTGTATAATATCATCATGAGGGACATAAAAATTGATGTTAACATTGTCAAAGTGAACAGCAAGACAGAGTAAGTGATATAGGCTCTCTAGTGCAAGGATTCCACGTTTTTACCATTGTTGTGTTTTACTTCCAGTAGATTCAATGTTTTACACTATGTTTATCACGTTTCTTATAACAACTAGATGTAGTGAAAGGAGGATGTTGAAATGGTTGGGATATGTGGCTAGGATTGATTAAATAAGGGTAGCTAAGAACATTTTTGAAAGTAAGTCAGAACATAAAGGGGGCATGCAGTAGCATAGTTGGTTGAGGGGCTATGCTACAAGTTGGAAGGTCGCGGGTTTAAGTCCCGATGAGGTCACTGGATTTTTTCAGTTGACCTAATCCTTCCAGCCACACTATGGCCCTGGGGTTGACTCAGCCTCTAACAGAAATAAGTACTAGGAATTAATTAAATAATTTTCCTGGGGTGTAAAGTGTGGCCAGCATGTAAGGCTGACAACCTTACCGCCATCTTTGAGCAGATTGTGTAGATAATGTGGGACCCTCAATGTCTCACAACCCTATGGGCCTTAACGGCCTGTTACAATTACTAAACTTTTACTTTACTTTACTTCATTCATTCATCAGTAATCTGTCAGACGACAGGTCCACAGTCTCTTCCAAAACAGTTTCTCCACTTAATGCAATCTTCTGTTTTTGGAAAGAGACTATCCAGGAAAAGTGATAATGTGGTAGTTTTTCCATTTGCTTTCCACATCACAGTACAACAGCCGTTCAAACCACTCTGGTCATGCCTGTTGCTATATGAACTTGAACCATCTCGAGCATCATTTTCTCTGTGCTTCAAGTCGCTGCTGATGCTGCTGCTTCCAGCATCAGTTTTCAGTGTCTCTCTTCGTCTGATGCCTACCCTTTGACCTGTCCAGCAAGGGAGGCCCTGCCAGTAGCTACGCTATCGCTGGTATAGCTCTCAGGGTCCTTGGAATACTCAAACCCCCTCACCACGATAAGGTGGAGACACCAACGAGGGGGTTTACTTACTTAGTCGAACATAAAAGAAAAGTGAGTAAGGTCTGAAAGCAAAGAGATGAAGACAAACAGGAAATCGTAAGAATGAGCATGTATTGTGAAGGAGGCCAGTGTTTTTAGAGGACTGTAGAGAAAAATAGTAAGGAGGCATATTTAGTACTTTCTTCTGACACATAGATCTTTCCTTTATGTATACTGTGCTTTCAGGCATCTTCTGCCAGCTTTCTATACGCTATTCAGAACACAGGGACGTCTTTTGAAAGAGGAAGTTAAGCCACATCCTGTTTTGGCACGTTTGTTCCGAGGTGCTGCTCAAGAAGATTTGGTGTTTGAAGTGGCTGATGTGCCGATGTTGTGCCCTCCTTTACCATGGACATCCGTTAATTCTGGTGGCTATTTGTTAGCAAAGGAAGCTCTGATTAGGTGAGTGCATGATTTCACAATCACAAACCTAATTAAAGATTCTAGAGTCTTGAATTACCATTTTTATGATTTACAAACCTATGCATTAAGCTAAGTACATCAAGCACATAAAGAGAGAAAACAGGACAGGGTGCCAAGAAAATTTGTTACACTTTCACGTATTACCTCTCATCATTAAATCATTTTTTAATTTCTATTCAGGGAAAATTTCCTCTTGAGATATTTAATATAGATGTCAACAGTGCATTTCCAAAGAGGATTATTCCGCATTGTTTGACAGTTTTGAGGAGAAGAATGAGAATTTTGCCTTCTGTCACAACTTCAGACTGCATTAAACTCTGTTATCTGGCATGTGGAGAATGGGGTGTCCTGGTCACATGAATCTGTTGTTTGCATGAGAAAATCTCTTACAGAAACCCAGTAGAAAGTAAAAACATATTTTCATTTTAATTCTTATGTGGGAGTCGTATATGACAGTGAATTAGTGGGTGATTTCTGATATGTATACTGTGTTGCAATGACAAGTTCATCTAAGGTCTATGGTAGTGGCACCGCCATGAGGGAGGATGATGGTTAGCGCTGCTAGTGACCGCTCAGATTACTACTGCATGGCAGGTGAACATATGTGTATTGCAAATTTGTTTTTGAATAACTTCATAAAAATAGTGAATTTTCTTCAAAATGTTTCTCTGAAATGCAAATACTTGAATACTGGATAGCAGGGAATTTAAATTACAACAGAATGACATGATAGTTTCCTGATTATGTTAGAATAAAATATTTTTACCCCAATCATTAGCTGTTCTTACACCATTGCCTTCTCCAAATGATGCTTTTTTTCAGATGCAGTTTCATCATTACTGAGTCTTTGATTTTTCCCAAATGTGATAATTAATCTGTTCCTTCACCTCCCAGCATGTTACAATTCATCATTCATAGCAGGCATCATCAACCCTGTCCACCTAGCTTTGAATATCTCCATTCATTCATAAGCTTTCCTCTGGCTCTTACAGTTATTGCCATACTGAACTAATGTCTTTCTTATATTCACTTGTGTTCACACCCTCTAGAACACAGAAATCAAATCATAGATTTTTTTCTTCATTTAGTGTGTGTATTCTATAGAGCAACTGCACAAATACATATATCACTGTATTATGACTACTCAAAAGATAATAAAAACTGACTAACATCGTACTGGAGATGGCTCATAGTGTTTATACCCGAGACCTTTATTGGTGCTGGTAACTTCTACCTGCGATCTTTTTTGGTGCTGGTGACATCACTTTTGAGATTAAAATTGCCTAATTTTTTTTCTTATTGTTATTTATTTATACAGAAAATCCTGACCCAAATGCACTGAATACCTGTGGTCTATATGGTTAATGGTTTGCAGGCTTCATCATCAGGCTGCACAGCAGCGGCATCTCCTCAAGAAGACTCCTGTTCAGCAGCTGTACCCGAGTCTCGATTCACTAAACCAGCTTGGATCTGTGCCGTGGATCGTCAATGAATCAGTATGTCTAGCATATAGAAAATTTAAGTTATAATGTGCTCATTTTCTATGCATAAGAAATCATAATTAGCTTTCTTTCTGCTGATTTTCCTGCAGGAAAGTGGTCACAAATTTGACTAAAAATATGGGTAATCTGTTCACCATTTGTGTGAACTGAATTTTCCTAACATATATTTTGTCTGGGTTCAAGTCCCGATGAGGCCATTGGATTTGTTTCAGTTGACCTAATCCTTCCAGCCGCACTATGGCCCTGGGGTTCACTCAGCCTCTTAACAGAAATGAGTACCAGGAATTAATTAAATAATTTTCCTGGGGAGTAAAGCGCGGCCGGCGCGTAAGGCTGACAACCTTACCACCATCTTTGAGACGATTATCTAGATAATGTGGGACCCTCAACGTTTCACAACCCTATGGGCCTTCACGGCCTGGTACAGGGATAGCTTTGCTTTTTACTTTTTTTCCTCATTTTATGAAAGGTTGTAGAAATCACTTGCTATGTGGCTTATTTATACCATGCATGAATCGTTGAGCCACAGAAATATGTAAACACGGCAATTATGCAACAGTAAGGAAAGCGGTGTTTTCTCCATCCTGTGCCGAGCTGCAATGCACTGTGCTCATTGTTATGCAGCACTGCAGTAAACACCTCTTGGAAGCAAGTCAACGCATTGCTTAGCAACGCCACTGTAGACACGATGATTACACAACAGAGAGCAAGCTGTGTTTTCCTCTTGTCCGATTGAGGGTTTATAGGAGAGACTGGAATTGCTAAACAGTCAGACAGTTCGATGCAAGACAGCCATTGGAAGAAGATCTGAATGTGTGATTTGAAGGTTTTATGAGTGTGATAGCGATAATCAGTGATAGTGAGTGATTGTTGAGAAGTCAACCAGCGAAGACTTAATGTGTGATTTGAAGGCTTTGTTCGGAGTGTGTGATTCATTGAGGCTGAAGGCTGAAGACTAGTGCAGATAGACTGAAGAGATTAGTGTGGATAGATTGTTCATTGTATAAAGCAGCAATAGTGTAATAATTAATTCTATTTATGACCTGTAGGTTGTTCATAAATACAATTAACATCCAAACCCCATTTCCAGTCACCCAAACATGTTACAATATCAAGTCAATAATGCCATGACCATGGGTAAGAGGTACATACATAGATATGAGTAAGTAGTTGCTAATGAAGGTAAGTGTGTAGCATATATTGTATATGAATATGCACATAAACATGTACATACATATATTTTCACACACATAATGTGGAATATAAAAGATCTGGCATTCATGGTGGTGAAAAGCCTTTGGAAATATGACACCATATAGTTTTCTAGGTGAGTACTAAACAAAAAGAAAAGCATGCGGCATTGTGTTCATTGGAAGTCTTGATGAAAGGAAGGATATTTTGTGGTAAAACTTACGAAAAGATGACTAATGCTTGGAGTATGGTATACAGCAATGAAGAGGGTACAGAATGGCTGCTGGCTTCGCAGAGGCTTTCAGCATATGTATAGCTTTGAATGAGTTTGTTGTAATGAAAATTCATGATGCATATTGAAAAGGGGATATTTGTTAATTGAACAGTTCTAAAATGAAAAGGTAGGTAGTGTACTGCTGAAAACTTCTAATGGGTTTTATGATTGTAGTAAACAGACTTGAAGTAGAAATTATAATAAATAGAGAAACTGGTTGCTCTTACCCAATTCTATGAAGTTGTTTTGTTGTTTTCTTACCAGCATCAGGTTTAGAAACATAAAATATTTACATTCACTTGATATGTCTTGTGGCTGATGTAGGCCTTGTATTGTCTCTCCAATAAGGTTCTCGATGTAGCGATTGAGGTGTTCAATAGTGGAGGTTCTCAGCAACTAGATATACCAGAACCGCCATCTTCCTGTCCTGCTCCTAGTGCAGTTACTCCAGAGATGACAAAAAAAGAGAGATTCCAAGCTTTCCGACAGAGAATGGCTCTGAGAAGGCGCAAAGCAGAGATGTATAGTTTATGGTGTGATACCCTCTATAGACTGTCTTTGGCAAATCATGTAAGTGGAAAGTTTGTCAGACCTCAGAATTTGCCATTAGTCATTACAAATCTCAGATCAGTTAGAAAAAGTATATGCTGTAGTACATAGCTTTATTTTTCTTTAACAAACTTTCAACATTTTTAAGAAAATTAACCAGGTAACTACCTAACTAATTTTTCATGAGTAGAATACTTAGATGGTACTCTTTTTCTGCTTACACAACCACCATCATTACCACTGTATTGGTGTTTAACAGCTTTCATTATTTAATTATGAAATGATTTTTCCGTTTACTGGTGCTTTTTATGCACATAACATGGTTCTGTTGCATGTTTCACAGCACCTAATTTTGTTTGCTCATTATATTTTCTCCCTGAATATATGTTTGATTCCCCATATACGATATTTGCTTGTGTAACTTATGCATTTTTTTTTAACAAAACTCTGTGTTGAAAGTTGTGTTGCATGCAGTATGAGAATCTACTTTATGGGTATAAATTTATGCACTAAATTGAGGGAGGAAATTTCAGCTACATAATGTTGATTGAGGGTAGGAAAATTACAGTTGCATAATGTTGAGAAACAAATTTTTGCTCAAAAATAAACTTCAATTTCAATTCTTTTCTTCCCAATATATAATCATAATTATGAACCCAGCTCTGTAACTGTTATATTTCTCCATGTTTGATGTACTTTCAACTTGCTGCTCATTATTGCTAATTTAACATAAGATGGAATGAAGTATATAAACTTGTTGACTGGTTTTAATAGAGGATCCATCATGTAATATATTTGATGAGATCTCCCCACAGGCCTAAAATTGCTACCCACATTTAATGTTGAGAATACCCCCCCCCCCAGNTTCAGAACTAGTCTGGATGATGTGGAAAGAGAAGAACCATGTTATACCTGCCAGGACTCAAACTCCAACCCCTTGGCTGTCCAGCTGGTAGCCTGTTGCTATACGGACTGTGACACTCCAGTTCCTTCATGTAAATTTAGTACTAAAATAATCTGCTTTCATGAATATGTAATACTGCATCTTGCTGTTTTCATTAACCCTTTAAAGACTACTTTGTAAGACACCCTGTCTGCCCTTGCAGATGGCTGCAGATCCATACTATTGCTTGTTTTTATTTTAACCGTTTCTTTTATATATATTTATAAGAAAAACACATTTTTTGGTCAAAGAAAGATGCAGGAGAAAATAATGTTGTGATCTGTTGATGACAAGATGAAATACTAGCACAATCAAACAGTTAACTTCAAAACAGTGCAAATTCTTTCTAATGCCTGTTTCTTTCATTACAGTTTAGGAAACGCATCTTCTGGCTTCCACATAATATGGATTTCCGAGGTCGAGTTTATCCATGTCCACCACATTTGAATCATTTGGGTTCAGACATGGCACGATCTCTTCTTTGTTTTGCTAAAGGAGAACCTTTTGGACCTAATGGCTTTGATTGGCTTAAGGTCAGTTGATAATTTTACAAGTCACATGTAGGAATCAATGCACATCACTAATGAACATGTTTGATTCACTATATAGGAATTTAGTATCTGATAATAGAATGAATGCTGTGAAATTTGCTTCTTAGTTGTATGGAAGACAGGTAAGGATGGATATTTCTTCTGAGGAGTTGAAGGATGTTAACATTAACATTCTGTTGTAATCACATTTCTATGTTCTTTGCATGAAGTACGAGGGTAAGTCAGTAAGTTACAAATGGATATAGAACTTAAACAAATAAGAGTACTGATTTGAAAAATGCTTTTATTTCTCAACATAATCTCCCTGTACATTGAGGTACTTGTCCCATCGTTTCACAAGCCCCTGAAAACCAGCAGCATAAAATTCTTTGGGCTGCTGTCGGAACCAGGCGGTGACTTCCTTTTCTACAGCTTCATCGTTGGGAAAATGTTAGATGAAAGATGATGTTTAAGAAGGCCGAACAAATGGAAGTCACTTGGAGCAAGGTTGGGGCTATACGGAGGATGCTCAAGGACTTTCCACTTGAAATTTTCCAGCGTCTCATTTGTCTTGTTGGCAGTATGGGGACGCACATTGTCATGCAAGAGCAGCATGCCTTTGATGAGGAGTTCTGGTCGCTTCCGTTGAATGACCTTACAAAGTTTCCTGAGGATGTTACAGTAGGAGTCTGCATTTACGGTTTGTCCTTGAGGCTGGAATGAGGTGAGCAGTATGCCTTTGTGATCCCAGTCACTGCCTGATTCCGACAGCAGCCCAAAGAATTTTATGCTGCTGGTTTTCAGGGGCTTGTGAAACGATGGTTCAAGTGCCTCAATGTACAGGGAGATTATGTTGAGAAATAAAGGCATTTTTCAAATCAGTACTCTTATTTGTTTAACTTCTATATCCATTTGTAACTTACTTATTGACTTACCTACGTACATAAATGAATGCCTGTCCATTCATATGTATATTTTATTTCCAAAACTGCTTAACGCATTTTGATAGAAGTTGGTATAGGTGGTGTACACCAGAAGTTGTGAGGCAGATTTAATTTTGTCTGTACTGAATGCCAACATAATGAAGTTTTTAGTGCAATTGAGTATTGTCAACCTGTCACACTTTCCCTTTTGCAGTATGTTTGCAGTATGATGGATTTCAGTATTATGAAAATATCAGTAGTCTGTAATTAAAACTCAGTTCACATGAGAAGATATGATTAGTGTATTAAAAGTTGCTTTTACAAAACTAAGTAGCTTGTTTTAGGACTGTCTTTGGGTTCTGGGTGCAGTATGAGTCCTGTAGTGCTTACAACATGGCAGGAGGTTGTGATGGGCAGTTCATTCTACCTGGATTACCTGCCTACCAGTGTTTCCCCAGCAAGTAGTTTCTTTAGTGGTACATAAAAACCACATACATTACATTGGCATTTTATTATTTTTCATTCTTAGCCTACTATATTTACATGAGGCATATCATGAAGTATGCCATTAATATGAATGCCTGATCATTACTTCTGAGTTGAGTGTAAAAGGTAATGTCAGTTTTGATATATTCTGCCAACATTACACACAAATTGGTCATTCAGTAACAAACAACACCAAGTTCATCCCTTATGCCTCCACTCTTTGAACCCCACCACACTGTATTTCATTTTTTAAATCATATGCCAGAGCCCCCACAGCAATGATTTTGGTAAGCTTTCTCTTTTACACATTTAGGGGTCACATGTAGTGCTGTAGTTAACAGAAGATTCTCTGCCATCTGTTGGCAATATTTTGTACATGTTTCAAAGTCAGTGCTGCCATGAATGGAAATAAAGAGATTTTCACAGAAATTCTGTGTATGAAAGTAGTGTGATTTTATTTGAAGAGTAGGATTTAACATTGCATCTCAAATTCCAGATAAACATTACTGAAACTGTGTCACTGTTCCCAAGACATCACAGATTTCTGTTGTTCAGTGCTTGCTCTTTGATTTAGATCCATTTGATCAATCTGACTGGATTAAAGAAACGAGACACAGTGGATGAAAGGCTTCAATTGGCAGAGGAACTGTTGCCTGAAATCATGGATTCTGCTGAGAAGCCTCTAACTGTAAGTTGAGGAACACATGGTAATTGTTTTGCTTTTGTTTTTCCAGTTTTCATAAGGAGCAGGATAAAGCAAATAGTATAGATGTTCCTGATATGTAAGTCATGTCTACTTTTACTTTTTGCACTATTAACAATGATCACAATGAATCGGCATAGAGTTTTGTATTGATATCAGTAATAAAATAGGATTGTGAAATGATACTTTTGAGTCACTCAGCAAATCAAAGCTTCTGTTTTATTTGAAGATAAAACTAAAGACAAAGTTGCTCTTTGAAGACGCAAGAGAGTGGAAGTAAAGCTCCTTTCATTCTTAACCATGGCATTGGATAGATGTGAGTGGTCAGTTTTATGTTCTGAACACCCCCAAGAAAAGAGTTCCTGGTGCCCATTGAATGGGAGTTAGGCAGGCCTAGAAAGTTGGCACAAAGTGACAAAGAGAAGAACTCTGTGCCCCTATCAGGAGATGAACACCAGTTGTCCAGCCCATAGCCAGTCACCTTACTGACTGAACTGTTCAATCCCATCCAATTCATTTGAAGCCTAAAAGTAACCTGCCTGATGCCTTTATTAAAAACCTTCACAAAATAAAAAAGTCTTAAATAAAATTTGTTGAGGTTAATGAGGTAAATACCATGTAGAGACACTTTTTTTAAGTGAGTCACTGTGGAGATTGTTATAATGTATCTTTAATAAAAGAAATAGTTCAGATAGGCATGCTGTGTTGTAGTTATTGAAAGCTGATTTCAGTCATATGGAGTTTTATATTTGTGCAATACTTACTCACTCATGGAGCTCAGCCCTTCTTGAGGAGCTGCCAATTCTGAAGTTACCCAAGAATTTCCCAGCATTTTATGGAACCTGAAGTGTCCATTGGTCCCTATCATCAGCCAGATCAATCCAATCCATACCATCCCATCCTATCCTGTCTTTCTAACAGCCATTTTAATATTTTCCACCCACTTATGCCTTGGTCTTCCCAGTGGTCTCTTTCCTTCTGGCTTTCCCACCAATATCCTATATGCATTCCTCTTTTCCCCCCCTTTGTGCTACATGCCATACCCACCTCATCCTCCTTAACTTGATCATTCTAATTATACTGGAGAAGAGTACAAGTTATGAAGCTCCTCATTATGCAGTTTTCTCCAACCTCCTGTCACTTCATCTCTCTTCAGTCTAAATATTCTCCTCAGTGTCCTGTTCTCAAACACCCTCAGTCTAATTTGCATAGTGGGGGGTGGAGTCCAGTTGGGTCCACTTAGCACAGCGGCCACTGATTGGCTTATTGTACCTGCCCCGGGTGATTATGATGATGGAGAATTTGGTGGAATGAAGATTGGCAGGGGAAACCGAAGTACTTGGAGAAAACCTACCCCAGTGCCACTTTGTCCACCACAAATCCAAAGATTAATTTCCATGACCATAAGGGTCTGTCACTGGTCCCTATCTGGAAATAAAAAGAAAATCTGTTGTAATGTTTTTGAGGAAGGTTGATAAATTTTTTTCCTAGAGGAAAGAGTGCGTTATGTATCTTATCTTGTACAATGCTTTGTTTTTATTCAGGGCCGTATGTGGTGGGCTCAGTCAGAGGAACCTTGGCAGACTCTTGCCTGTTGCATGGAAATAGCCAAGGCTGTGAAATCTGGAGACCCAGAAAATTATGTATGCCATTTTCCTGTCCACCAAGATGGATCTTGCAATGGATTGCAGCACTATGCTGCCCTGGGAAGAGATGAAGCAGGGGCAGAAAGTGTTAATCTTAAAGCAGCAGCACGCCCTCAAGACGTGTACAGTTGTGTTGCAGCACTGGTGAGTTGGATTCTGTTGTGTCATGACCTACTGCAGAATTCACATTGCTACCTATAAGCATCTGGTTATGGTGGAATCTAGATAAGAATGAATACTCTATCTAATAATAAGTTTCAGTCATTGCTTATGACACCAGCTTTCCATAAAATGATTCCTATCTCTAGAGAGCAAAGAAAAAGACAAAGACAGAGCTGTCTATGTACCTAAGGTCTGTCCATTCTAAATTGCAGCATGAAATGGAAGTGACTGGTCAGCTTTATTTTCCCCCATTGAAAGAGTCACATGGTACACACTAAAAATATAATTACCAAAAAATTGCTAATATAGCATACAGAATCATGTTTGAAATGCAGTTATCAGTGAGGCTTTACATTGCTGCAGTTTATTCATTAACTTGTCAATTAATGTCTCAGCAAATTTATATCCTGTTCCATTTCGTCCTCTCATGTTTTTAACAGGTTGATGGGCTACATCTGTCTTACAAATAATCAACAGTAAAAGATTATGGCAAAAATCTAACTTTGTAATTTCTGTGTGAACGTAGGTAGAGAGGGAAAGGATCAAGGATGCTGAAGCAGGTTTGAAAATAGCACAAGTCTTAGAAGGTTATATCAGTAGAAAAGTGATCAAGCAAACCGTGATGACAACTGTGTACGGAGTAACACGCTTTGGGGCTCGACTTCAGATTGCTCGCCAGTTGAAAGGTAATTGTGTTAGCATTATGATGCACTTGTGAGTTTATTGACAGCCTTCAATTTACTGTTCTGTCTACCAACAGTCATTTTGGATTCTTTTCTGGCAGTTTTCAGCTGTTAATACATTTGCATTTGGGTGGATTGATGCTTGCCTACCTGCAGCAGTTGGCTGCTTCATAAGTACATAATGCTGAACATACTTAAAGTAAAATAAAAAGTAAAAGGAACAAATACAATCTGTTTGATGGATTTTGTTCAGACTTTTCAGTACTCATTGTGAAATGTGTCTAGTAATGGCTGAGAGAACACATTTCTGAAACATTCTCATTTTTGTAGAGAAACCTGCTGTCCTGGCAAGAGTATTGCCTCTCTTAAATCCCTCCCTCGCTGAGCTAACTTTTGTCTTGATGCTAATATGTCAGCTTTCTGTAAAACCATTGGTTGGTGATGTCTGTCAAGAAATACTGCAAGATTTGAAATTTTGTATTGTGCAGGATCAATTTCCATTAGGTAGGTCAAGAGTCGTAGAAGCAGAAAACTGCCTTACCACCACGAATATGTTAAATATGATTCAAAACTGAAACTTCTGTATTTCTCCTACAGATATAGAAAACTTCCCTAAGGATTATGTCTGGCAAGGATCAACATATCTTGTTGGAAAGACATTTGAAAGCCTGCAAGAAATGTTTACATCTACAAAGGAAATTCAGGTGTGTCTTAATATACAGCAATATGACCAACTTTTATGATACTCATAAACATCGTACTGCAAGAGGCCGTAACTTTTGTGCATATTTCAGGCACTGACGTACTCTCCAGGCAAGTCTTTTTATAAAACATAAGGCCGCACCATAGCTCAAGCGGTTAGTCCTTGGCTTCCCACCGCAGTGGTCCAGGTTCGATCCTGGGTCTGGTCAAGTGGGATTTGTGGTGGACAAAGTGACGCTGGTGCGGGTTTTCTCCGAGTACTTCGGTTTCCCCTGCCAATCTTCATTCCACCAAATTCATCATCATGATCACCTGGGGCAGGTACAATAGGCCAGTCAGTGGCCGCCATGCCAAGTGGACCCAGCTGGTCTCTACCCTGCACTAAGCGAAAGACATAACATAAACCACTTCTGCTTTTGTTCTCTGGATTTTGTCTGGAAAAATGGTTTTCAATTCTGCAACTTGCTTTCTCTGAACAGGCATGAAAATTCAGGTGCTAAAAGAAACAAGTAACATGAGTGTATTCAGAATTTGTTTGAAGATAGACATAGCAAACTGGAAACGAGCATATTCGGGATTAGTGTGGTGGACATACTGGGCAGACATTGGATTCTTATAGTATGTCAGCATGCCTTCTTGTGTCATTGTCATATTAACAGATAGTTAAGACATAATCCTTTTACATTTATCATGCTACAGGAGAATAACTCAGGACTGGAGTAGCTTAGTGAGTGTAGTGACTGGCTGTGCTTGATGACCAGGGTTTTGTTCCCAACACTGGCAAATACTTTTCTGTTGACCACTATATCCAGATTGGCTCTGGGCCAACCAAGCCTCCTATGTATTGTATACAGGGGAGTCAGAGCAGGCAGAGCATGAGGCTAACGACTCATTTGTCTAATACTGAAATTAATTATAAATTACACTTCACTTCCACTCCCGCTTACATTTTCATGGCATGGTATGTAAGCAAGGGACAGTTGTGCATTACCAACACTTTACAAGGGATAAGCACACAGTAAACAGAATCTCTGTATTTTATACTGAAATATTGTATTAATTTGTTTTTATATTAAAATTGTTATTTTTTTTTTTACCAGGACTGGTTTACTGAATGTGCACGACTCATTTCACAAGTATGTGGCCAGAATGTAGAATGGGTTACACCTTTGGGCCTTCCAATTGTTCAGCCCTACAGCCGCCCCAACAAGAAGTTAGAAGCCCAGTCCACTGTGAAGGAAATCAAGGAGCACTATGCATTGGACATGTTTGAGTAAGTCAGCCTCAGCCCAATATGGCATGTTATGTAGAGACCAAGAAAGAGTAAAGTGAACGTTTGCTTACTTAACTATGCTTTATCACTTGCATTGGTTACTGAATTGCACCGACTAATAAGATGGTTATGAATGAGGAATTGAAGAAGACATGGAAGTGGTTATGGCATAATTTAAAGTATTGTTTTAATATTTGTTTGGAGAAAGAGAGGAAATGTATTATATGAAGGGAACAAGTAATCTGGTATTAGTTTTTGCATTAAGGAAATTTGCTAGTTATATTAATTTAATCTTGTGAATACTGGAATAAGCATTTTTTAGACATTCTCTACTTGAAGACAATGGAAGAATAATGCGCCTTATGAAGAGCATGTATCAATACTTGTATGTCTGCAGTGTTCAGAGTAACAACATGTGATTGTCTGAAGTCCATCCTTGGGTCTTTATATCGTATGTTCAAAAAGTATCCGACTTCATTTTTTCCTCTGTAAGTAATGGCCAAAGGGGTGGGGAAACTGAGCGTAGTGGTAGAAGGGACTTTCATGCGCATGTGTGATTTTTTACTGACTCGCAACACTGCTGGCTGCATCTGTGGCTGCCAGATAGCGAAGTGGTGTAACACGTGTTCGTTGCATTCTTGTTTCGCTCAAGATGACAGAACACTTGAAGCAGCAATGCTGCATTAAGTTTTGTCAGAAACTTGGGGTTACCCAAGCAGAAACAGTTCGCAAAATTCAGCAGGCTTTCGGCGATGATGCAATGGGGGTCACTCAAATTAAAGAATGGTTCAAACGCTTTAAACATGGCCGTATGTTGGCGGACAGTGAGCAGCGTTCCGGAAGGCCATCAATGCTGATGTCATTGAAAAAGTGCGGACACTGATCATGGAGGACCGTCGTTTGGCCATCCATGAAGTTGCTGATGAGGTTGGAATCAGCAGAGGTTCCACAAACACAATTTTAACTGAGGATTTGGGCATGCGAAGAGTGGCGGCAAAATTTGTGCCCAAGCTGCTTTCACCGGAGCAGCAACAACTCCATCTTGAGGTTGTGCAGGACATGCTGGAGTGCGCCAACAGGGATCCTGAATTCTTGAAGACTGTGATCACTGGTGACGAGTCGTGGGTGTACGGATATGACCCGGGAACCAAGGTCCAGGCATCACAATGGAAGCATCCAACATCTCCGAGGCCCAAAAGAGCATGACAGGTTCGGAGCAATATGAAGGTGATACTGACTTTTTTTCCAATTACTGGGGTGTTGTGCATCATGAGTACACACCACTAGGCCAGACTGTCAATAAGGAGTACTACCAAGAAGTCCTCTACCATCTTCATGATGCAGTTCGGCGCAAGAGGCCAGAGCTGTGGGATGCACGCAATTGGGAGCTGCATCATGACAACGCCCCAGCTCATTCATCACACCTGATCCAAGGTTTCCTGGCCAAGCATGGCATTCCGCAGGTTCGCCAGGCTCCCTACTCTCCTGACATCACTCCTTGTGATTTTTGGCTGTTCCCAAGATTGAAGACACTGCTAAAAGGCTGCCATTTTGACAGGCGCGAGGACATCATACAGAACGCAATGGCGCAGCTGCACACCATTCCAAAAGAAACCTTCCGGAATTGCTTCCAGCGATTGTAACCACCCAGATACAGAACTTTTTTTTTCCTGGCCCAAGGTCGGATACTTTTTGGACAGAGTAGTATATTGATTTGAAGGGTAGTAATTATTCAAGATACCAGATGACACCTGTTTGTAACATCCTGTAAAAGAATTTTCCTAATTTCTTGGGTGCATTGTCCAAAATTTTTTAGGGTTCACCTGTAGAAACCAAAGCCATCACTATAGTGTTAGAAGCTCTCGCTTTCTACATCTGTGGTCAGTCAGATGTAGTCTACAGAAGTATTATGGGGTTTGTTTGGTGCAAGGGCATTTATCCCCAAAGGCCTTGGCATATTGGACAAGTAGTTCTACAGTGAGGCTTGGCAGTCAAAGGGTCAGTACCCTTTCCTCTGGCCATACAGTTATTGCCATGCTGAACTAATATTCTTCCTTAACCCTTTCACTGTTAGGCCACACCTTCTAGAAAGACCAAGGCTGCAGGGGGAGTAAATGCAGTTGTACAGAAAAACCTACGATCAGTACCTTCTAAGTTTACCTTCAAAGGTCTGTGGTTGTAGATACTGAGAAATCCTGTTCTTTCCTCAAAACTTAACTGTATCAGTATTGACAGAAGTGCTGTTCTGCATGATTGATAATGATCCACTCTCTTCGGCTGTGACAATTCTATTGCAAGTATGCCAAGCCAATCCAATCAATTTGGTGGCTTGCATAGGGTTAAATCTTAAAGTTTTCACACCCTTGTTACCACAAAAATCAGGTCTAATCATTGTTGTATCCAGACATAGTCTATCAATAGACTAGCCATATGAAACATATCACAGCATTATCACTGTTCAGATGACAATAAAAAACAACTAGTAACAAATGAGTGGAGGTTTTTTTGTTTATATCCACTATCTTTTCAGTGCTGTCAGCACTATTTCTGTGATGTGCTAAAATGACCTTTACTTTTTGACTTTTCCACACATTTTGTGTCTGTATTGTCCATAAGGATGTTAGCAGTCCTTCCACCCAATTTATACATATCCTAAAATCGTCTTCATGTGTAGACTGAAAAGACCCCAGCCTTTTCTCACAATTCAGTGTAGTACAGTAGTTCCCATAATTTGGTACACAGACCTCTTGCCACTACGTGAAATGTGAAGGTTCCTTAAAATAAATACATAGTACTAGATTTTTGTACACCAATATAATGAAACCATATTTACTGGTGTGCATTATTCTCTGTTTGTTTTAGGAAAAATTTATTGTATTGTTATCACAGTGAATAAACTACATGCAAGATAAATATTTTTCTGCATTTGAGAACATTTTGACATGTTGAGTCAGGTATGATATAAAAATCTAATAGGATATCAGCTATTCACAGAGACTGTAATAGTATGAAGGCTGTCTGGAAAGTAAAGATAAAAAGCCCAGAAAATATTTGTAATGCTTTTTTTTATTCACTTGTATCACTTTTACAGCACACCTTTATTTACTTTTCAACATAGTCACCATGGATCACAATGCGCTTAGTGAGCCTTGAAACAAGTTTTTTTATTCCAGCATCGTAGAAATCTCCTGCCGGCTCTCTTAGCCATGGAGAACAGTTCTTGACACTTCTGGACATTGTTGATGAAGTTCACTGATGGTTAAACGTCTGTCACCATGAATGTTTTCATCAGTTTTTTTAATGATTTCATCAGTGACAACGATGGCCTTCCACTACTTATTTCATGATGAATATCACTTTTTCCTGCTTCAAATTCATGACACCATTTTGCCACGTTTTGCCTGTTCATAATATCTTTGCCATAAATAGAAACAAGTTGGCAATGAATTTTGGCAGCAGTTTCTCCTTCTGAATGAAGATATTTACTGCACGGACCTCACATTTGGTGGGATTTTGAATCAGCACGGCCACTTTAAACACACACACTGAGAGCACAACATTGCCGTGACTGACCTGTGAACTCTCTCCTGTCATACAGTTTCTATTTCACATGGCAGCGCTGCCATTTCTGAAAAAAGTATGTCCCTTTTATTTTTACTGGACTTTTATCTTTACTTTCCAGATATCCCTCATGTATATATATATATATATATATATATATATATATAGGGTGATTCACGAAGTTTTACCCCCACTTAGAGAGCGCATTCCTGAGGTAATTTGGAACAAAAATTGGTACTATACTAATGGTATCCAACTCATAATTAGATAGATACAGTAATTTGAAAACTGGCGAAAAATCTTTTTTTCTTTGAGTTTCAGTCAGAACAAGTTAGAAATACAATACAGACACTTTTTAAACTGTTAATGTTTTAGGAAAGAAGCATTCTAAAACCAGATTTTTCTTTTCAATTTCTTAATGTTGCATTGTGCAACATTTTTCATCGATTTTGTGTTACAAAATTACATTATTTTCAGCATCCCATTCTGTAAACATACCAATGGTTGCATATCACACCCTTCTATCAATCTGTTTCCTTTAAACTTAGTGCTTTACAAGACGAATGGATTTACATACGATTTTCAAAAATGTCTCCCTGCACGTCAACACAATGCGTCGCATGCGTATGAACCACTCTGCCTATCTACCTACGCGCAACATTCAAACCAGTCTACCTTATCTGCTGATATATCTGATTGGAACGTATGGTCGCCCATGCTGAAGCATAGCACTGCATTCACAATGATGCGTTTCGAAAATCTATTGTTACTCTGCAACTATTGAAAATTGACCAAAAGTTTATAAGGAAATTTTGCAGGAAATAACCCCAGGAATATGTACCATAAGCTGGGGTAAAACTTCGTGAATCACCCTCTATATAGGTTTATGTAGCCAATCCTCCTTTATTTGTTCACCCTTTATTGCTGTGTGAATCACCACCCATTTTAATGGGTGCAAAAGAGAGTACTCCAGGTAGGAGTGAGATCATTGTGTGTAATATTTGTTTCAGGCGGCCAAATGTGATGAAACAGAAAAATGCTTTTCCACCTAATTTCATCCACTCTTTGGACTCTAGTCACATGATGTTAACTTCTCTATTCTGTGAAAGGGAAGGCATCACATTTGTCTCAGTTCATGACTGCTTCTGGACACACCCAAGTAGTGTAGATATTATGAATAAGGTATGATACTCTTGCCTAAGCGAAGATAAACTTATGGTATCATGTCAGTTTGTTTGTACCTTGCATATAACTTTAGAATCATCTGATGAAACTTTTGTAAAAATTGATGTGCACTGCATAGCATTGAATGCTACCCCACTGTCTTATTTGTTATTTTCCTACAATCAGTAAATCTTTTTCCACATAATTTGTAAACATCATTTTAAATCTGGCTGTGTGAATAATATATTTCCCCTTGTTGTAATACACTTCCAAATTCTTACTTACTGTTCCTAATTAAGTTGCTAATTTCATGAGTTCAGCAAGCATAACTACTTGTGTGCATTGCTTCCAGAGCCTCACTGTGTGCCTCTTAAAGCTGACACTATGTAAATGAGGGTGCAAGTTGTACATGAAGATACTGATTACATGATTGATTACTTATATTCATATCTATTTAGTCAAAATTTTTGTGACTGAAAATGGAAGTAGAAGTATTTTATTTAATTTTTCCTAAATTTCCTGACTGAAAGTTGGAGCGTGTAACTTGTGGGAGCAGATCATTGTAACCAAGAATATGAAACTTTGTATTAAAATAGTGTAATATATCTACAATTTTAGTGACTATAGATGGGCTTTTAAATTGGTAATTATATTTATTGAACTCTTACACAACCGTTACTACGCATCACAAATCGCTGTCACACACAGACTAGTGTTCTCAGTCTGTTAGTCTCCACTAATCATTGCTTGGTATCACTTTCCAACAGCAGACATTCTCCCATCTCTGGGTTCCCACACTATCCCCAGCCTCAGCTACCAGCTTCTTACAGTAACAGTTCACAGTGACTGAACTACAGTAGTCCTCTAACTAACTGACTACCTGAGACAGCTAACTGGCCCTGCTTATAACATCTCGGCACAGACTGCATAGAAAACACCATACCTCTGTTACTGTTTACAGGCTGCTGCCTTGTAATGGCTGTTGTATAGTTGCTTAAAATTGCGGATGTGGCAATGGCATGGAACTTGGTGTGCTCAGAATCTATACTAGTGAAAATTATGCACAGAAATTGGCCAAAGAATTGCATGTAGTTCCTTCTAGAGCTTCTTGTTAAATAAAGCATTGTAACAATAGTTTTGTATTTTAGGTTTGCAGGAATCAGTTTGTATCGTTGCATTCGCAGCCCATTCTGGAAGATTTGTCTGAATTTCTGGTGAGGAAATACAGCTATGCAGAAAGGTAAGGTTTTACTTTTACTGGTGTATTTACAATATTTCATCCCCTTAACACAAAAAAAAAAAAAAACCTTGAGGTAAGGGCCTTATGGATGCAAATATTCCATCTCTGAGCTTTGTGGAATAATGTAGATCGAGAGTGTTTGAGAACACTGAAGATCCTTAAACATGTGATCTGAAGTAACAGGGAATTTGTAAATATTACATAAAGTGAAGTTTCATAATTTGTACTCTTCACATTGTAATTAAATTGAGAAGTTGGTTTTTGTTCTCCATGCTGTAGCTCCTTTCTTTCCCTCTTTACGTTTCCTCGACACTTATCTATAACTGGCAAAAAGACAAGTGGGGAGAGCACACATTCTTGTCGCGTGAGTTTCAAAAGTTCTGTTTAAGAGGTTCCAATATGAGAGCGTTGCAGAGTTTTATTTTCTGATGTCTAAAAGGTTACATGTTGGATGAATGCATGGCAGACATGGTGTATTCAGTTAGAAACTTTCAAAGAAGCTCGGGTTAAGCTCTTGCAACAAAGTTGTTTTGAATTAATACAATAAAATGATGCCTTGTGGTTGGTTACATGTAGGGAGACAGATATTTCTGGATGTCAAGATTTGAAAACCAAGGAACAGCATAAAATGTCTGAACCAGGGCAGTTAAATGAGTATAGTGAGCAGATTATGGGCTGAACAACCAAGATTTGACTCCTGGCAGGAGTAGAAATTTTTCTCTGCTACTGCATCAGAACTGACTTTTGGTTCCATCCCATTTTCTATTCCAGTGGATACTGGATTCTCATTGCCAGGGCATGAAGCTGTTCATGTACCTTCATCTAGTATAGAGATTAAGAAAGCATGGGGCTACGTCTCCACTCTATATTTTTCATGTCATGGGGTTTAATTAAGTGCAGGGACAGTTTTACTTGCCTCGAAAAGTATCAAATATATTTCATGTTTATTGATATAATAAGTGTATATTTAAAGACAATACACTTTCGTTCAGACAGTTATGTATTGTCAGTGATTGGGTGTCTCTTGTTACAGTTACAGACCTGACTACAAATTTTCATGTGTTTATTGTTACAGAGAATTTTCTGATGATGGGTCTGTGGGTGATACAGCAAAGCGAAGGCTCAACAGAATTCTGAGGAAGCTTCCATTCAAAGGAGACTTTCAACTTGATAGTGTCTTGGAGTCTGTTTACTTTTTCAGTTGAATATTGTAGACATTGGTGTTATTTTGATCACTTAGTACCTGTCTAGAAATAACTGAGTTGTATTTGTTTTATAATTGATGGTGATTTGGAAACATAAACTGTATATAAGTGCGAAGTAGTTGTGTTTTCATTTTAATTGTCAACAAATTAAATCAATGAAAACTAGAACTCAGGCTGACTTAACTTCAAATTTGTAGTGGCCTTACTACTACATCAAACATGAATATTATACCACCGCATTTTCATTCTTCAATTGGGTGATGGCATTTCCACCACACGGCTTGTTATGGTTGAGCTGGCATAATTTGACTGCGAGCATACCGTGCCACTTCAATATTTCTGCCCGAGCTCGTGTTCCTGGTTGGCAATCGATTGTTACATTGGCAAACACATTCAGGAGAACTGGCAGTGTGGAAAAGAGAAGATCAGGGGAACGGCCCGTTAGATAACCCCAAAACATCGAGACGGTAAGGCAGTCCTTTTTGTGATCTCGGCGCTCGGCACGCGAGCATGCAGCTGCCCTTGGAATGTCTGATCATTCTGTGATGTGAATTCTTCATGATGACCTCCACTTTCATCCTTACAAGTTGGCTGTGGTGCAAGAGCTTATTGAACGCGATTTTGCTGCTCAGCAGCATGCATGTGAAGTGTTCCTTGAAACTTTGCCTGATGATGCGCTTGTGTTCTTTAGTGACGAGGCTCAGTTCCATCTTTCTGGATGCGTGAACAAGCAAAACATGCGCTACTGGAGTGATAACAATCCCCAAGAACTTCATGAGAGGCCCCACTTTTTTGAAGAGAATGAGGTTGCAGTTACAGTGAATTCTGTTCGCTATGTGAAAATGATCGGAGAATTTTTTTTGCTAAGTCTTGACGAAATGGATGTTGGGGGAGTTTTTGGACATCATTTTCATGAAGTGAATTATACATCATGGCCAGCCCACCCTGATGGAAGACACATCTGGTTCTTCTGCCCAAGTGCATACTCACAGAAACTCGTAGTATTAGTATTTATAGTGTATTCCAGACATCCACAAGATGGATACAGAACTTGTCCTCACTCACTACATACAGACCAATTACAAAAGTTGTTTACATGGAACATTACAACAGTATAAAATATAAATAGTTAAGGCCTTAGATTACATAAATAAAAAAATCAGAAACATGTCATTTAAGAACAGTCATATTAAATAAGTAATCCACAATGAACAAATAATTATGAGTTACAAATAGTAAATAAATAATATACATTTTAATACCAATCATACAATCAGTTCATTTATTTAAAAGGCATCAAATCAGCCCAGTGTTTGGCAGTATCTCCCATCACACCAATGCATATGTAGTCTCTCAATTGACACTCCAACTTGATCGGTCTTCCAGCCGATAATTTAATCATTCGGCCACGTGTGGAAGGATCCGTTTTTTCCGGTCGCGCTGAAAAGAGGATTTACCGGTTGAACTACCGAAGCCGAATCTTGACGAAAGTTAATAGGTTTTGAATATAGATAGCAGTTCATTAAGTGATCTGATTCAGATGGTTGGTTAAGAAATAACAACAACCAGTGTTCTCTGGATGTTTTCCCCACTTCAAAATGGCGAGTGTTGAGTGGGTTTGCTAGATGTGATAGTAACTTGCTTTTAGTAGGCGTGGAGGTAAGTAAAACTGAAATATGTTGGTTTGGTTGTACGAACAGCATGTGTGCTTCTTATAGCAACATGCATTTGTAATGAAGATAATGAATTTGTCCTGAAAACCCTTGGCAAGGATTTGTTTTTAATGGATTTTATTGATTGGTCTATAGTCTGCCAGCATTGTCTGTCACAAACTTTTATTTCGTAAAGTACAGAATTCAGGTGAACGGCTGCCGCAGTGCTTATACCGAAGCCGCAGTGCGATTTAAGACAATTTATTTTTACGTATGTTGTTTACAGTATATTACGTATGTATTGAGGAAGAATTGATGTATGTCGAAGTTAATCGAAAACTATGTGAGAGTGATATGTTCTTGGGGGTTTATTTTTTGTAAGTGGCCGCTGTTTTCTGTGCGTTAAGTAAATGGAGTATCAGTTCGTGCGCGCACACAGTTTCGCATGTGCGCGTTCAGTATGAATATCATTCGTCGAAGATGCTTGTTGGAGTTGTTTTTCTTCGGTTATTTGATGGCCAGTAGTTGTGAAATAAAAAATGAATTGCTCCAGTGTACGCACCATGCCATGACGTATTAGCCTCATAAGTTATTAGTTATATTGAATGCCGAAAAAGCTACTTTTTATGTGTTGAAAATTTCGTAACTCCGAAACGTCTGTCGACTTTCAGCGTACTACACGGTGTTATATCCCAGCAGATAGTTTCGTGATTTGTGTTTTTTAATATTAAATAATTCAGTTTCAATGACAGATATGCATAGTGTATAGTAGCAAATAATTTACTTTGAATTTACTTAAAGTAAATTGAAAATCGTTCATCAGATGTTTATGAGACAGTCTGAGACCTCTATCACGTGAGATGGCGCTTTCAAGTTAAAGTCTTACTTATTATGTGCTTTTTCTGGCATTTTCTTCAGTTTTTGTTTGAAGTGTAAAAGCCCAAAAATTAAGAATGTGACAAATATGAAGTTTATCATTATATCCAAAGCAAGCGAGTAATATGTTAGATGCTGCCATCCATGTGTGGTACATGATAGTCCTGTAGTTACAAAAAGATGTTCAGGGAACATTTATTTGGCATTTTGTGGATGTATGTGTGAAATTTTTGACGTGACAGAAGCATGTAATGTCTGGTTTTGACATATGTTTCAGTTGTTGTTCTGTGACTGTTTTATTGCAGGATATCACAGCATATATGTTCTCCTTATAGGAATGTACTAAATTGATACGGAGACAGTTTGCAATTTGTGTAGTGATAGTTAAATATATTTACATGTGGAATAAAGTGATCGACACAGAAATTATTTGTGAATATTTTGTTTTTAGTTTTTAAAAGCTCAGTCTTCAGCTTGTTGTTTATATGGTATAGAATATCGTTGATACTCAAGGACATAATTTTATGGCAGAATACCAGAGTATTTTATGTGGGAGTTTATTGAGGGAGCAGCTTTACATTGTGGTGACCATTTGTATAAGCTTCTTTAACATGCATCAAATTCTGTTGCCAAATATGCTACAGAATTTGCATTTAATTTGTGTTTACTAGGACCGACATAAATATGATCTGCATTAAATTAAATTGAACATTAACTAACATAATCAGTTACAGAAATCTGGTTGTAGAACTATTAATGTAAAAATGTTTATTTTTAAGTTTGATAGTATACAAGCTTACATACATACATACATACATAGTTCATAGTTTCTTTGATCCGTTGTCTGGTCCGGATGTAGAACTCGTCATAAAAAGACTTGATTGCAAAGAAACAGTCAAATTAGCAACAATTACAAACAAATTAAGAATCACAAAAGACACTTATACACCATGAGAATTACCAGATATCCTGGGAGAAATTTTCAATCACAGCATAGGCACATCGTTAACAATTACAAACAACAATACATTCGTTTATCCAGCTAAATTTTTGCTTGAAATGTATTCATCTATTGAATAAATAGCATTTTAAATAAGAAAGTTTTTCAGTGTATACCTAAAAATATTTACATTGTCTTTCAAAATTTGTATATTTCGGAGCAGATTATTATAAATTATGATTGATGAATACAACACACCTCTTTGAATCAAAGAGTCTTACTGAGGAAACATGTAACTTGTCTTGTGCATATATGATGAANTGCTTTTCATTGCTGGGGAAGAACCCCCCCAAAATAAAACCATATTCAGGTTGTGACTAATAATGAGAAAAGTAGACCATTCTTAGGACTTGCTCACTAACAACGAACTGTAACTTCCTCTGCATGAAACATGTTGTATTCATTTTTTTAATAATTTTTCAGAGTGTTGTTTCCAGTTAAGATGACAGTCTACATACATACCCAAAAATTTAACATTATCTTCAACTTTAAGACCTAAATCATTATATGTTACTGATAATTTATATTCCGGAGCCTTTGGGGTAGTAAATTTAATCAAATGAGTTTTTCCCAAATTAAGTACCAGATGATTATTTTGAAACCAGTTAGAAATGCATTTCATCTTTGAGCCGATTGTCTAGATAATGTGAGACCCTCAGCGTCTCACAACCCTATGGGCCTTCACGGCCTGTTACAGGGATAGCTTTACTTTACTTTTTTACCCATCGTATCCACAAGAAGTCTTACTTTTTAATGATGAAATTGAGCTTGACACTTCTGCTGCAGTAATTAGAATATTTACTATTTCAGAGAACTTATCAGAAGAGCCCTCGCGAAGTAGAGGTAAAAAACCTTCATTTTTAAAATGTTGACTAATTAATTTATCCACAGAAGTTACAAAATAATTATTAAATAACTTTGCTGCTTTATTAATGCCAATTTTTAAATTTCCATCTCTCAGCTCAGAATAGGTAAATTTCTTATTGGGCTCTCGGCCGATTTTTATTATTAATGATTTTCCTAGACACCTTTGAATTTATTGGTTGAAATCATTATTTCATCATAATACATTACTTTTGCTCTTCTGATAACTTTCCTTAACAAAGTACAGTATCGAGTATAATACTCTTTTAATCTTGGATGGTTAATAGTTTTACACATCATATATAAATACTTTTTATGCCTACAGGATATTCTGATATCTTTTGTGATTAGGATAGGCATTATTGTTTACATATTTCATTGGAAAGCGTGTTTCAAAAATAATTAAAAAGGTGTTAAAAATAAGTTAAAACTTACATTAACATCCATATTGCTAAAAATATTGTCTCAGGTTTCATTTTGGAGCATATCAGTAAAAGTTTTGATACTAAGCTCTGTTGTAATTCTTCTTTTAACAAATCTTTTCATTTTCCTTTGACAACTGAAAACATTATAATTCAATTCAATTTTATTTCATCCATGAATCATTATACATGATATGGGACAAGTCAAAGATTAATATTAATACTAATACTAAATGGTAATAAGAATATAATAATACAGAAATAGTATGCCAAAATATAATAAATGATAATAATAATAATA